TTGCTAACAAAGAATTAAGGGAGTACTGGGATAGCTATTTCTAACCTTATTTGGTTTCATCAGCCAGACATACCCTTCTGAGATTCGAACCTGGGCTGTCTGCATGTTAAGCAGAGATGTTAGCCACTAGGCCACAGGCTCTTTCTCGCTTTGTTAGCTACAAGAGACAGGGGAAGAGGATGAATGCTTTTTTTTTTTTTGAACACCCTGTCGGCCCAAATATGGGAGAGAGAAATCTTTTGCCTGTATCAGCTCAATCTAGAGCCATCCACAGAGATGTATGTATGTATATATGTATATGTATATATGTATATGTATATGTGAGTGTGTGTACACCATATTAATGAATTAAGTTAAAGTTAGTAGCATTGATTGAAGAGAAGTTGGGTTTTGTTTGTTTTTAATTTACATGGACCAATTCTTTTTTATAGAATACCTGCAAATTGTACCGTTTTTAAAAGTAATTAGGAAATTGTTTGCCTGGGACAAAAAGCCCAGCAAAGACCCTAGGACAAGGGGAAGAAAATATCTTCGAGAGGCAGTTCTGAGTCAGGTGACAAAAAGAAAGGTATTTGTAGAAAGGAAAGAGAAAGAGAAATATTTTCAGTATAGTTTACAATAGAAAAAGGCAAGGAAGATTTCTGCTTTTGTATAACAAAGCACATTTGTATACAAACATATGCTGTCATGCTTTCTTCCTCTCACTTTTTCTTGTCTCTTTAGAAGTAAGTCCCAGTTTGGCACAGCCTCCATTGGATCAAGACCTATCTGTGGCAGAAAGATTGCAACATCTTAAGCTATGTCTGCAGGAGTCTGAGAGAGCATTTTCACTTGTTGTATATGATTTTATTCAACACTACAAGACTCTCCTGAAGGCCTGTGGCATCTCATTGGCAGGATGTTTTGAGGACCCAAAGGTTTGCTAACTTCATCTCTTGTAATTCTTCTATTTCTATAATGGCATTCAACCTGATAAACTAAATATGAGGAAGGAAGAGGATAACCTGAGAAGGAAGGTGTTGTGGGGAGGAGAGAGTTTTTTTATACTAATTGTTACAAGTTTAGGTTCTTTGTCAAGATTCCATGTAGTTCTCACTTCTTACAACGACATATAAAAATTAATACAAGTTCAAGCATGCACTTCCAAGATGACTTGGACAACTACAAGTTCATAGAGCTTCTCTTAGATGGAAAAAAGGTTATTATCAGAGGAGTCTAATGTAGAGGTTGACATACAGTACACAGTCCCAGATATGTTCCCATAATAGTACTGTGCCTTAAACTGACAGATGACCTTCTGCTAAAAACTTCATAAAAACTAACTGTAAGAGAGACCTTGGAGTCCTAGTGGATGATCACTTGACCCTGAGCTAGCAGTGTGTAGCAGCAGCCAAAAAAGCTAATACAATCCTGGGTTGTATAAACAGAGGCATAGACTCAAGATCGCATGAAGTATTATTACCGCTTTATAAAACCCTAGTAAGATCACACCTGGAATACTGCAGCCAATTTTGGTCACCATATCACAAAAAAGATGTTGAGAGTTTGGAAAAAATTCAGAGAAGAGCAACTAAGATGATCAAAGGCCTGAAGACTAAAACATTTGAAGAACAGCTGCAGGACTTGGGTTTGGCTAGTCTAAAGAAAAGAAGAAACAGGTGACATGATAGCAGTATTCCAGTATTTGAGGGGCTGCCACAAAGACGGGGTCACGTTATTCTCCAAAGCATCAGAGGGCAGGACAAGAAACAATGGTTGGAAACTGATCAAAGAGAGAAGCAACCTGGAATTAAGGAGAAACTTCCTGATAGTAAGGACAATTAACCAGTGGAACAGCTTGCCTCCAGAAATCGTGGGCGCTCCATCACTGGAGATTTTTAAGAAGAGGCTAGACAGTCACTTGTCTGAGATGGTATAGGTTCTCCTGCTTAAGCGGGGGGCTGGACTAGAAGAACTCCAAGGTCCCTTCCAGCTCTATTCTATTCATATGACATTAAAGAACAGGTGGAAAGAATCAATCTTTATGGCAGTCCACAAGGAAGCAATCTGTAAGGACCTACCTCATCTAAACCTCCCAAGAAAGCAGAACTCTTGAAATAAGCATTGTCTCAAAAGGAACTTTTATTAGGATAGCAGGGAAAACAAGGCGAGATATGAGGAAAAACCCGTGCAAGCAGTATATTAAAAGCAACATCTATTACTCTTCCCCCAGGGTCCGTTTGAATTCCAGCCAATCCAGAAGTGGCATAGTGTTTTGGTAACTGGCTCCGTTGGCATGCTCTTCAAGATCTCTCGCTTTCCTTTCCTTCTGGCTCCAAGCTCAAAAGTCTTCTAGATAAGGGTGATGCATTCCTTCTCCTGGGGGAAAGGCATAGTGGCAAGACAGTAGAAAGCATCCCCAAAGTATCTCCCCTCCCAACAGAATGGCAGGCCCCAAAAATGGTTACAAAAGCAAGTAAACTATAAGAAGGGAAAAAAATACATTTCTTTGTGGACCTGACATATTCACTGAACTAGTCGTTTCTTCAATAATGCCATTGACTAAACCACTCACTAAGGAAGATTAGGCTATCATAAAACAGTGCTTCCAACCCCCAACACTTGCAGATACTCCAGAAGGTTTACTGTGATCAGTGGTACCAAAGGCTGCCAAGAAATGTAAAAAGATCTCTCATCTAAGCTTGACAAATGTCATCACAAAAGCAACCAATGCAGTTCCAAGCTTAAATCCACCTGGAGGAAGTGAGGTTGATTTTAACAGCGAATGGTTGTACAAAGTGATCAAAGCAGTCAGGCAGGAAACCTCCATGACCTGATATAAAGACATTCATGCCCGACATCCTCAAAACCAGAATCTTTCCTCACAGGCAAGAGTCAGTACATACCCCTGCTTCCCCAGCCCTGGCTTTGAGACTTATGATGGATCTGCACCATCTCTTGAGAGGAGATATCCCTCCAGCTAGGTCATAATAATACATGTCCATTCTTCATGTTCATCTCCAACAGGTCATGGACTTACATGATCTTATTGAAAACAGACTTACCAGATGAGCCCACCACAGGATGTAGGTGTGAGGCTACTGGGATGGAGGTGGAGATTGGCACCAAACTGTCAATTTTTCTTCCCCTATAACAGCTTTGTGCCTTGCATTGTACTGCCTTCAGCCCATCACCACCAGAATATATTCACCTACTTCCCCACTACACAAACCTACCCTGCAATATGATACTCAGTTACTATTTAGGTATTTCACACAATTATCAGGCAATAGGGCCATTCATTGGCATCCTCATTAAATATTAACTCATGAATAAATATTATTTAAAAGATGAATATTGTGGTCTTCTATGATATTACCATAGCATAGAATAGCTGCTAAGTGCAAAGACCAGTAAAACAGAGTGACCATTGGAATCCATGCTTCTATTGAATTCTGGGAATCAGTAATCCTATAAATCTGGCTGTCATGGTTCCGGTAGATGAAACCTATCAAAAGAACTTCAAGGCAAGATTCTTCCTCAAAGAACATTTTATTCAGGAAACAAAGTGTGGGCACTACATAGTTGAACCCAAAAACTAAATTCCCTTCCCCCAGATACAAAGTAACAAAGTGCAATTCCCACCCCCAATAAGCTATCATAAATCACATTCTACAATTAGCCTAAAATGCAGGCTTTCTCCCCAGCTCCTCAGCCCACCAAAACGTTATCAGCTCGTCCTTGGGTTCCCACAAAGCCTAGTTATGGCTAGCTGAGCTCGAGCTTTCATCCCACCCACCTCCCTTCTGCACCTGATTTCTAAATACCAGAAAAAGCATGTTAAAGGAAAAGAGAAAATGGCTGCATTTTCATCAGTTGTCAAGAGTGGGAACATCCAATGTTTACAGCGTTGACACTGGCTTCTGAAGTGGGATATAGATATGTCAACAACATATTTGCATTTTGCGAACTTGACTATGTTGCATTTTTGTGAGATATGTGCTTTTTCCATATAATTTTGTGAATGCTGAACATTTTTTTCTTACTCTAGGTAGCATGCTGGTTAATGGACCCTGGATCAAAAGAAGATTCCCTTCACAGTATGGTTGCCAATTTCCTTCCTCAGGACTTATTCTTGCTAGATAACATTGGAGCAGGCCAGGGAAATCAGAGCCTGGGTCTCAGTGCCAGTGCAGATCAGTCTGGACGTTACAGGGCATCTGTAGAGTCTGTTCTTGTCTTCCATATTATAGAAGAACTCCATATTATACTACATAAGGATAACTTGCAAGGTAAAAAGGCTACAGGGCTGACATTATCATTTAACGAAAGGCACTAAATGATTAAAATTCATCCTGAGCTTCAAAATAATACATGTAAATTTTGCAGATTGTTGTGTCACAATATTATATTTTGCTATCATAAAGGTTTCAGACAATCATGATTTTGCATCGGAACACTATAAGCATCAACCGAAAATGAAAAGAGTGAATTGGTGACATAGCAGTTAAATTCAAATGTTCTTTATGGTTTGTAGATTTAGACTTTTTTATTTATTAATTAGCTTTTAACTTTGTAGTTTATTTCTTGATTACTTAGAGCAAGTAGTAGTTTTCATTCAAATGTCCTAAAATGCTAGCCGTAATATATTTTGCAGAATGTAACTAAAATTATGTTTTGCTTCATTTGTCATTATTATAGATATTTTTCAGAAAGTGGAGATGCCGAATCAGTATTGCTTGGCCTTGCTGGAACTCAATGGCATAGGTTTTAGCACAGTAGAATGTGAGGCCCAGAAACATGTTATGGAAGCAAAATTGAATGAGATTGAGAATCGGATATACCAGCTGGCAGGTCACAGTTTCTCCTTGACCTGTCCAGATGATGTTGCTGAGGTATTGTGATGAACTTACATGAATAGATTATGTTTTGATCCAGACATCATCTATGAAATTTTGATTGGAAAAATTTTGTTGCCTCTGTTCAACCAGTAAAGTTCTAATTGCTTCTGAAGAAAATGTTTTCTCAATGTTAGTTTTAAAATTACTTTTAAAATGTTTGCTCGTATTTTTCTATCGATTTTGCAATATATAAAGTAGAACAAATATTGTCTGAAACCACAGCTTGTAGCAACTATTTAATAAAGCACTTCATAGAATGCTTCTAATTGCTTGTAATTTCTTATGATTATAAGCTTAATTTCTTGGCCCAAAATTTATTGACTATTGTTGGTATGGGCCCATTCCTTTGTGCCTCTTAATTCATATCATAGACTATATCATTAAAAAAATGTAAGCATTCCAACTAGAAGAGTTCATTCAATTCCACACACATTAGCACTGATGTTACCTAGTTGGGTAATGAAATATCTGCAAGCAAACAATAAAGCTCATGGAGCACTAAGAAATTCACAGTTCAACCCTGAGCTATAAATATTCTCTTCTATTGGAAAGTTCATTCATTTACAGTATGTAATCCTAGATGAATATTTAAATAATGAATCTAGTAAGCATCATTCAATGATGTTTGTTGTTTTTATATTATTGTTGTTTGTTGCTCAGAGTTGCCTTCAATGATATGGTTTGACTATACAGATTTGTTCAATTTTAAAAAGCAGATTCATCTATATATTCTTGGGGGAAGGGGGGATGGAATCAGAAGCATCTTCAGTTTACCTTGGTTCATGTTGTCTCAATTAGTACATCTGCCACTACAGAGCACATTTGTCATTTGCTGATTTATTTCATTGCTCTGTTTTACTGTCATATTCAGAGACTCGATGTCCTTTTATTTTGTAGCTTAACACAGCCATAATTTTGGTCTGGTGCCATAGTGTTCCCAAAACGCTTTTTGGTATCTGAGCTATTTTTTAACTTATTTTTTAAATTCATATTCTGCATTTTAAAAATAGTGATACAGTTCATTTAAACAACATTTAAAGCCTGAAACTTAATAATTAAAATTAAAACTCCTCTACAGCAGGGGTCCCCAACCCCCGGTCTGTGGACCAGTACTGGACCAGTCCACACAAACAAGCAAAGCCCCATCCGCGGGATGCAGGCAGCACACAAAACCACGCCCCCTCCGGTCCACGGAAAAACCTTTCTCTATGTAACCGGTCCCTGGTGCCCAAAAGGTGGGGACCTTTGCTCTACAGTATGTTTAAAACTGTCAGTTCCTTAAAATTCTTGATGCAAGACCTCAATATTAGCTTAAAACAAATTGTAATTCTGTCTCTTGATTTTTGAAGGGTCCCGGAAGGACACCAGGTAACATTCTGATATATCCAGGAAGAATGTGTGTGCGTGTGTTGGATTTTTTTTACCCAGTTTTGGGGATATTTAAATGATAGTGGGAAGCCTTGGGAGGCAAATCACTCAATTTCTATCTACAACTTCCCCAGGTAGCCTGAATATTTGCATAGGACAAATATGTAAAAGAAAAATAGAAAAAGAACAAAGGAAAAAAGGTATTAAAAACGGATACAGTGAGAAAGAAAAAAAGCAGCTTTGATCTTTACAGCAGTTACAAATTTAAATCATGTTAATAATTTCTCCCATTTTAGAACTATATTGTATACCTTTGTTGCATATTCAACTGCTTTTAATCAGGAAATCCAGAAATTACCAGTTCATTTTTATCCATTTTTCCAAAAATTCCATAAAAGGTTTCCAGTCCTTTATAAAAGTACTTATGCCAAAGAAGGTAAAAATCTTAGTGCTGAAATTCAGCTATTTTTGATGGCATTATCTTAGCATGTGTGAAGCTTACATGGACCCCTTCCCAAAGTTAATCTAAGTTAAAGAGATTCATCTTAACCTGTTTTAGCATTGTATATTGTAGAATTAAAACAGATTTACAATAATGCCTAACTAGAACTTTTAGTAAAAATTAAGAAAGCAGCTCATCATTAATTTTTGTATTATATCTCTTTGCATTTCAGTGATGATAATCTATTTAAACCTGAAAATGCAATTCAGTTTTAGATAAAACTTAAGCACTATGATGGTGCAATTATAAAAGTTTTAATCAGAACATTTGCATCATGTTAATAATTAAAATATAAAACATATTCAAATTTCATTTTTTGTGTGATTTCATGCTTTAGTTATTTGTTCCAAACATTTAAAATTGATCTTTTGTCAGTAACAGGATTTGTTAGGAACCTGCATCCCAATATAATTTCACTTAATATATAATAACCATAGTCTCACTTTTGGTGGGGGGGCAAGAGGGAGAGACCCAAAGGCCTTCACAGCTGGTGAAGTGCTGAACAAGGACTAAGAAGAGTTCTGAGTGTTCAAGACCACCCTTAACCATGGAAATTCCCTGGATGACTTTGGACAGAGCAGAAAACCATCTAGTCTGCTCAGAAGTTGTTTAAAAGGAGATTAAAACTGGATTTTTATTAGGCATTCTGCTTTCTGCCTCGTTAAGGGATAAGATTTAAACATGCTTTGAAAAGTTGTGTTGAGCATTAAGATAAGATGCAATTGCATGATGCTGTGTTCTGTTTCAGGTATTATTTCTGGAGCAAAAGTTGCCATCAGATGGAGAACTAAAAGTGCAAAAAGGCAAGAAAGTGTTGGGTTGTACTAGAAAAGCAACAGCAAATAATCGAGCCAGACTGAGTAAACAGTTCAGTACAACGAAGGTACAGTATAATTTTTATGTGATGTAACTATGGAATGTGCATTTTATCCCCCAAAAAAGACTATACAGTATTTCTGCTTTGTTAATAATTTTCAATTTACATAATCATTCATCAGCCAGAATTTTTGAAAGATCAGGTTCTTCAAAATCATCTGGAGGAATTCTGTTTCTTTATAGAAGAACAGTCCTTAACAGCTTATTTCTATAAGCAATCCAATTGTCTATTAAAATTCTAATGGATTACAGTAATACCCTCCTACCTTTTCGTCAGGGCCTAAAGACGGGCTGGGCCAATCGGCTTGGGGGCCCAGTGGGGGATCAGCGCGATGGAGATGATTGAGTAATAACAGATCCCACCTGCTCCTCCACCTTCCCCCATGTGTTTTTGGTTTTAATGTTTGTTTTTAACTTTTTTTGGTTTTAGGTTTTATGTAACTGTAAGCCGCCCAGAGTTATCCTATGGTAAATTGTATAAATGTATAAATAAATAAACAAACAAACAAATAAATTAGGTGCTTGATTCATCCTTTACTTTAAACTTAGATGTCTTATATGTAAATATTCTCAATCATCAATGCTTTTCACACTTTCCTATCATTATCCTCAAATTTAATTTAGCAATAGTCTGTTCCTGTTACATGAAATGGTTTTTTTCTTTTCAGTAAGCATTTCACATAAATATTAAGAGAATTGCCAGTTGCTTTGGCATTTTCTATACTTGGCTTGCAAAAGGGAGACCTTATGATGACACAGATTTCAGAATTGACTCCTTCAGAATTTCCTCTAGAATCTATTTGCCATGGAGGATACCACAGACACATGTGACATGGAAAAGATTTATTATATTTCTAGAATATGTTGAAAGTTCCCTCAGTGAACAGACTGACAGAGTGTCAAAGCATTCTGCAGAGGGGATAGGGAATAATGATCCTCCATGAGAGAAAAGTATACAAAGTATACAAAAGTTTACAAAGATGATCAGGTGACTGGAGGCTAAAACATAAGGAACGGTTGCTGGAACTGGGTATGTCTAGTTTAATGAAGAGAAGGACGAGGCAGGACATGATAGCAGTGTTCCAATATCTCAGGGGCTGCCACATAGAAGAGGGAGTCAAGCTATTCTCCAAAGCGCCTGAAGGCAGGACAAAAAGCAACAGATGGAAACTAACCAAAGAGAGAAGCAACTTAGAACTAAGGAGAAACTTCCTGACAGTTAGAACAATTAACCAGTGGAATAAGCTGCTTCCCGAAGCTGTGAATGCTCCAATACTGGAAATTTTTAAGAAGAGATTGGACAGCCATTTATCTGAAACGGTATAAGGTTTCCTGCCTGAGCAGGGGGTTGGACTAGATGACCTCCAAGATACCTTCCAACTTTTTTTATTGTTGTTACTACTACTTGCTAATCAAGAAAAGGCATTTTAGCAATAAATAAAATGACAAAACTTTAATCTTGACTGCTAGTTTTATTCAGTACAAATAAAGAATATGTATTTGCTCAAGCTATCTGGTAATTTAGAAAGATAGTATTCTAATGATTGTCCCAAGTAAATGGTAGTGAAATCTTCAAATCTTGTAAACAGAAAAACATTTAATTGGTTTGTCTTATTATTTATTTCTATAGGAGGTTTTAGAAAAATTGAAGAAATTGCACCCTTTACCTGGCCTGATTTTAGAATGGAGAAAGATCACTAATGCAATAACTAAAGTGATATTTCCACTACAGAGGGAGAAACTTTTCAACCCTGTCCTAGGAATGGAAAGAATCTATCCTGTTTCTCAATTTCAAAGTGCTACAGGTAGCAAGTTATTATCCTAGCAAATTTAATAATTATTTGCAGACTATGCACCCCCCACTTTGGTTGCTGAAGACTGATAGCATGGTTTCCTTTCATTTTGAGGCAAGAAATGTTTGCAAGTGTATGAAATGTTGAATGTTTTCTAAAATAAGCATACAAAAGTCTTACAATACAAAACCTATCAAAGTGGTGGCGAACCTATGGCACGCATGCCAGAGGCAGCACTCAGAGCACTCTCTGTGGGCACGCACGCCATGCCCTGGAGATGGCAACCATCCCTCTTCAACCAGCTGCCCGCTAACTTGCTGAGGTCCCACATGGCCGGATGTATCCCAGCACCCTTGCGTTCACTGGCCTCTGTGTGTAGGGGCCGATGGTGTCAGGCAGCAGCTGCCCCGGCCCCTGCCTCACCTTGCCCTGTGACAATGACACCCCTGCCCTGCCTCGCCTTGCCTCGCCTCACCCCGAAGCACGAGCCTCCTGCCCACCGCCCCACCGCCCCACCTGTCAGAGACCCCCTGGATCTCCCCCAACCCTGCCTGGCCCCCACAGGCGTCCCTCCCCACGAGCAACATTGAGGTAATCACGCCCACCTTGGCCACACCCACCCAATCTGCCATGACCACCACCGCCACATCCACCCAGTGGGCCACGCCCACCTGGCACCCGGCGATAAATAAGTGGGTTTTGGGTTGCAGTTTGGGCACTCGGTTTCTAAAAGGTTTGCCATCACTGACCTATCACCTCTTGCCCTCAAAGTTTTAACGAAATCTCCTTGCACCATGCAAGCCACATATCCATCACAAACTCACTTTTTTATGATTCTATGTCTGACTCAATCATGACACCATATTTCATCTTCCAAGCGTACATTTATCTTTACTCTTTTTGTAGGCCGCATAAGCTTCAGAGAACCCAATATACAGAATGTACCTAAAGACTTTGAGATTGAAATGCCAACAATGGTTGAAGAGAGCCCACCTTTTCAGAAACAACACAGTATTTTAAGAAGCAGGTAAAAACATAGTAAATTATTTTTGCTTTTTAAAATTTTAGTTTCAGTTCTTAGATTTTTGGGGTCACATTTCTGAAAAGACATGAGCTGTCACACTTACCATGACATTAGATACACATTCTGCTTGTATTTATTGATTACTACACTTATATCTCACCTTTTTATTAGAAACTCACCTTAGCTCATATGATAAATACAGCGGAGACATAGCAACTTGTCTAAAGGAGCTAAAAATAAGCTAGAATTAGCATTGTGAGAAACAGTGGAAGATCAAAAGATGTAGAAATATTTCAAATTTTAAGACCAGTAACAGACTAAAAGATGGATTGGTTTGATTGACTAACTAATGTAAAATGGTTTCTGTAGTCTAGAAAAGAAGATCTGGAGTAGCAGTGGTAGTGAGAGTCAGAAATCCAAAAATGCTGGCAGTGTGAATAGATGCTCTTCACTGCCTTTTCACCAGGTTTAGTCACTAGGGATACAGAAGAGAAAACAACCAATTACTGGTTGAAATTCAGATGGATCTGAATGAGTTGGAAGGCAGTTAAGAAGTGTGTCATTGAAACCCAGTAGATCAGTGGTTCTCAACCTGTGGGTCGGGACCCCATTTGGGGTCGATCGACCATTTCATGGGGGTCGCCAAGCAAGGCTGTCCGCCATTTTTTTTGTCCGCCATTTTTTTCCCCTTTTCCGGCGGGTGCCTTACCTCCCTTGGGCTGGGCCAGCTGGTGGTCGGCCTGCTCCGTCTCTGCCGCTTGCCAGCTACGCCTCGGCCGGCGCAGGGGGCAGAACCACGCATGCGCGGCGCTCCCGGGCAGGGAAAGTCCTCGACTTACGACCGGTTTAGTCCTCGACTTACGACCGGTTTAGTCCTCGACTTACGACCGGCTTAGTCCTTGACTTACGACCGGTTTAGTCCTCGACTTACGACCGGTTGGGGTCGCGGCATTAAAAAGGTTGAGAACCACTGCAGTAGATAAAGGCCTCTGGGAAGGGAAGCTTCACGGATAGACCTCTGATGACACCAACCCTCCAGTTGAGACTGTGACTTCATGAACCAGAAAAGAAGGCTTGCAAGTACTATTTGCTTGCTTCTGTTTTGGATGCTCCCCTCCCCCTGAAAATCAGCTTGAGGAAAGCCCTGGCTAATAAACCCATTTATAATTCCTTAAAAAAAAATCCCTCTAAATTTGGGGAGGCACTCATTTAATCCATTAAATCTCAACGCTAAAGAAAATTGGGGTGAAAATTTGTACTTCATCCATCCAGAGCAGGGGTGTCATGGGCCAGCATCATACTGCCAGCATCATACTGAAGCTGCGCCCACCCCATTGCCGGCAATGCAAAAAGAGTCACGATACATTACGACATATCACGTGACGTGGCGAGTTTGACACCCGTGACCCAGAGAAATGATACAATATGCTCCATAGGGCTATGGCTCTCAGGGAAGACACAAACTGAAAAGATTGGCCACTGCTGGTTTGAACATTAATGGCAGTAAGCAGCAAGTATATTTTGCATTTATTCACTACACATTAATTTAATCGTTGAATTGTATAGAAATAAGCAATAAGCCAAGTTTTAATTTAAAACCATATTTTATAGATATGGAAAACATTCTGTGTTACCATGTGGAACTAAGATTCTAACTGAAGAAATATCAAACAGGAAGAAAATACTATTTTCTGTTAGCATGAGACATGCCTTTGTACCATTTCCAGGTAATGCCTTAAAATTATTTTGACTTCATTTGCACTTAATGACCACACATGATTTTCTTAACAACAACAACTGCCATCTGCTTGAATCACTGAACCTCTTTCTGGTCCATTCAGATTAATTTACATCTTATTTTCAAACACATCCTGTCTTCCTTGAAAACTTTCATTCTCTGTCAGACTTTAACATTTCCCTTCAACATTAGAAAAGAAGAAACATAATTTTGGTGGCAATCACATTATTTTGTTTTTGTACATTCATAAAAAACTATTGCATTCGTCCATGATTTTAATAAAATTTCAATGCTTAGAATTCCACAACCGACATCCTATCAAGCATTTTTCTATAAAATAGATGCCCATTCTTTTTATCCAAAATGTTCTAGGCCGACTTCCGGTGGCTCGGCGGCTGCCGAAGGGGGTTGTTTTGACAGCCTCCCGTTCAGGACTGCGTAAAAAGCGCCAAAACAGCGTTTATCAGCTGTTGGGCGTTTTGAAACTTCTCTCCGGGCAAAGGAGAGAAGGAGAGCTTGCTCGTGAGTAGGAGTCGAGTTCCCTAGCCTCCCTGGGTGTTCCCAGCGAGGTG